CTCGAGCCTGCCAATGGCTATGACTCCCTCCCCCCAGCAGCCTGTGAAGGGGGCCTGGATACTCCCTCAAAAACCTCCATGAGAAGGGTCCAGGCCCACAAATCCTGCGTGACTGGTTGGGAAGAGACCAGCAGAGACCCCCATCTTACAAACCCTGTAAATGAGGGCCAGGACTGATCCCCACTGAAATGCCCTCCCCAGCTGACTGCACTGCCCTACATAAGGATTGAGCCTTCCCTTCAAAACAGAGACTCATCATCTCCTGAATAAGGATTGATTAATTCCCCCAGCCTCCAATAAGTATAAAATATCTCCTGCACAGAGACTGGGAAAACCCATCCCAAGAGTCAATACTGGTTTTGTAAACAGGGTAGAGTTTCCAAGGAGAAAGAAATAGTGAGCTGGGCTGGCCGTTGAACCAAACTGCAACAAATTGCAGAGAAAGTTGCAGAAATCAAAGACTTGGAGACAATATAAGCAGGCCAGAAGGAATAACAGGACCCGAGGAAGAATGTAAAACATAAGAACAGCCATACTAGGTCAGACCAAAGGGGACCTGGAGGTTTTTTAGAAGGAACTGAAAGCAGAGATGAGATCCATTCGGTTTAAATACAAATTCTGCTGGAACAAAAATTACAAAGGACTTGGACCAGTGTTCTCAATGAGCTGTGTGCTTGTGCAGCCATGTAGGAGAAATTCCAGTATCACCCAGCTGATTAGCAAAGCATCCACAGTTAGGTTTTGTGTTTCTGTTAGTGGTGTACATTCACACATGCATTGATGCACATAAAAATGTATTCTGCACATGAATGGAAAAAATTCACATATAGAAGGAAAGGATTAGAGGGAATATTGATGTGGACAGATTTTGAAACCTGTATACAGCATGCCCAGTCAAGACTGGCAAACAGAATAAAGGAGATGATGGACACTTGATTACTGTGGACTAAATACATTTTCAGAATATGGGAAATAATCAGAAAATTCTGACTAATTTGGAACTTGTTAGAGTAAGGGATGACCTGCAGGAAGGAAGTAAAGAGCTAGAAAATTAGATAGAGAAGAAATTTCAGGTGTTGCAGATGATTGTGGAAGCCAGCTTCTGGGATGAGGAAGCACACCAGCCAGAGCATTTGGGCAAGACAGGATATTTACAATTTTTTTACCCCATTTGTATACCACGGTAGCCCAGTTAGCAAGAATCAAATGGTCCCAGTTCAAGTAATACAAAAGCCAATACAAAAAATACAATAGTGACCACTGAGGGAAAAAATTCTTGGGAGGCTTATTTGGCTAACTTTAACATTGTATCTCAAATGATGGGGAGATTAAAAGAGAGGTGCTTTTAATAGCTAATCAGATCTGATGATGCTCCAGAAAAATACTAAGTTACCAAGAGATGTCAGAAGCAGTTTGGAGCCAGCCATCCACATAATCTAACCAGGGCACAGCTAAGGACAAGGAGAAGAAAGGAACAAGATATGCAGTCTTAACTAGCAGAGGACCAGATGAGATGGTTGTCTGGCAAATCCAGATATCAGCAGGGGATAAAATGGAAATGGTCCATTGATGCTTAACTAGACGTGGTCTGACTAATTAAGATCACCAAAAAGAAACCAAGGACACTGTTTAATGGTATTTGTCAAAGCACTGAAATCCTCCCAAGCAACAGCCAAGCAGAAAAGAAAGCAGTTGCCAGTTAGAATGACTGAACCAGGCTGACATCAGCCCTGTGAGTACAAATTTGTATTTAATATGTACAATGAAAAAGATTTTAATTTGTCATAACATTTAGAAAATTAGGCCCATTTTACACTTGCAAGTTAACTTACAAGTTTTACCAGAATAATTATTTTAGTTAGGACTGTGATTGTTTTTTACTGAACTAATGATAAAAGCTCTAGTGGACACAATCTTATTGGCATAAAGGTAATTTATACTGATAGGCTACGTCTAGACTGGCATGATTTTCCGCAAATGCTTTTAACGGAAACATTTTTCCATTAAAAGCATTTGCAGAAAAGAGCATCTAGATTGGCACGGATGCTCTTCTGCAAAAGCCCTTTTTGCGGAAAAGCGGCTGTGCCAATCTAGACGCGGTTTTGCGTAAGAAAGCCCCAATCGCCATTTTCACCATCGGGGCTTTTTTGCACAAAACAATACCGCATTGTCTACACTGGCCCTCTTGCGCAAAAGCATTTGCTCAAGAGGGCTTTTGCCCAAACGGGAGCAGCATAGTATTTCTGCAAGAACACTGACAATCTTACATGAGATCGTCAGTGTTCTGGCGGAAATTCAAGCGGCCAGTGTAGACAGCTGGCAAGTTTTTCCAGTCTAGATGCAGCCACATAGTTATACCCTTTCCTGTACCAGAATAGGGCACTTTTGTATGAATGCATATGCACCAGGGGGATTTGTACTGCTTTAGCTATACTGCACCAGTATAAATAAACATGTACTAGTTGTGTTTAGACAAGTCTTTATAACAATGTTAACAGAGATTGACCATAAGAAATAATAAAGGAAATAATTATCATAAATGTTGGTGATTTGAAAATGATTTGTCCCCAAAAAGGAGTGTTATAAATGCAAGGCAAGCCAGGACGAAGTGTCAGGGAAGTGTCAAGTGCGTAAAGAAAGTTCCTCATCCAGTTTCGAAAAATGGGCTGACACCAAACTTACCAGGCAAATATTGGTGGTACTAGGAATAGCCTCATAAATTGGGTGTTTTGTTTTGTTCGTTTGTTTGTTTTTATCTGGTCAGTTGAATAACAGTAATAAGTATAGGACTACTAAGGAGAGTAATAGAGAATGTGCAATGTACACGAATTGTGAATACTGGCTCAGACATAACAGTTTTTTAACCAGACATGCTAAAAATGCTAACAACTGGAAGACTCAGAATAAATGGCCTTATAGGTCTCAAAAGGAGATAATGACTGAAGAACATGCACTCATTCAAAAAATCGGAAAAATAGGTTTAAAAATTAGATCTCAAGAACTGGAATGAGAGGTCTGGGCAATTGAGATAATGGATGGAGTCATAATAGCAAATAACTGCGTAATAAATTCCAGGAAAGATGTTGACCTAGGGTAGTATTGGCTCTTTAAAAAGACAGGAGCCAGTGTATTTGTGATAGATCATTTGACACACAATGCAGCTTAAAAGAGCGTGTTTGAGCCTTAGAGGGAGAGGGTGTTGAAGGAAGTCATGAACATCAATGAGAGTACCTTAAAAATAGTCAGAGAGGGACAAAGAAAACTACCTAAGGACAGGAGCAGAGACTGAGGGAGAAGAGCTGCTACAGAGATCCAATAGGAGGAGCAAAAGGTTGATAATGAGAACTATTAGCACTTTGAGAGTTTAGTATTAACAAAAATAGTGCCACAAAATGTGACCCTCTGCTGCATCTAGTAAACAGTGACACAACAAAAGAGAAACATTTTAAAGGAGAGGAAGGATATGAAAGAGTTTTGAAGGTTAACTCCAAGGCTTTGTCTACATTGGCACCCCTTTCCGGAAAAGGGATGCTAATGAGACCAGTCGGAATTGCAAATGCCGCGGGGGATTTAAATATCCCCCGCGGCATCTGCATTTACATGGCTGCTGCTTTTTTCCAGCTCGGGGTTATGCCGGAGAAAAGCGCCAGTCTAGACATGATTTTCCGGAAAATAAACCCTTTTCCGGAAGATCCCTTATTCCTACTATCCTTACATCGCTCCGCCCCACGTGACTTGGCCACGTCATTGGGTGTGTGCTCCACCTCCTCCCCCCACCCAGGGCTCAGACACCCTGGGACTGTCCCGTTGTGAACGGTGCTTCACCCTCATGTTTTTATGGAGTTGTTCTAGCATAGCACTCTATGCTTTACAAGCGATTGAGGGAATGTATTAGACATTTATAACTAATTGATTTTTCAATCAGTCCTTGTGCCTTAGACATAAAGGGAATAGGCTTAAATTCTATATTCCATGTAGATTATAATTCAGAAAACTGAATTAATTTACTTAAAATGATTCTTATCTGCTCTTAGCAGCAGATACCTTAGTTTTCCAATGGATCATTAAAAATAGGTATGATCTGAAGGATAGGGGGAAAAGTATTTTTGCATGATTATTTAAATTAATGTTTTTTGGTTTATTTAACAGCCTTGGTATCTTTCAGAGGCTTATGAAAGAGTATTGTATGGCATAATTCTTTTACTGTGTTATACATGGTGATATTCTGATGCATACTAAGACTTTTTTGAGCAGGAACTGATGCCTGTACAAATGATTTTTGAGAGGAATAAGAGTGGTAATCTGAAATTGAACTGAAATAAATGTAAGCTATTTAAAAAATATGTGACGTACCTCAGGAAAACAACTAGAGAGACACAACTGTTTGTCAGTTATATGTTATATGTTTGTGTTTGTCAGAATTATAAAGCCATTGACTAGGTTGAACAAGAAGGGAGAACCAACTTGCAAGGTCTTGAAACCTTCTATTCCTCAGCAGAGGCAACAGTAAGTACTTAGGAATGCTCAGCAGTTTTCCCCAAAATAAATAATAATACAACCCTAATGGAGACAAACTTTAGCAATATGCCTTCTGTTCTTACCAAATTTCTGCCCAAAGTGGGAACTCAAAATGACCTTGTCTAGGTAAGTCAGGTTCAATGCACTTAGCCCCTTGAGCTGCCTGGCTGGTGCAAAATGTTTAATGTTTTGAACCCTGTTGATTTCTCTGTCCATACAGGCTCAGTGTAATCCTTTTGCTATGTGAGTCTCAGTGGTGTTTAGTCCTGAGCCTGTGGAGTCAGCAGCGGCTGGGAGCCCTCAGCCCAAAGCTTGTGGTGACTGGCACCCCGGAGCCTGTGGGGCCAGCAGCAGACATGATCCTGTCGCCAGGCCCTGCAGGGACAGAAATGGCCATGAGCCCGGGGCCGCTATCAGCCAAGGGCTCAGACCCTGCAGGGCTGGTGGCAACATTAGCCTGGAACTCGCAGGACTGCCAGTGTCAGGCATATAGAACCCATTGGGCCAGCGGTGGTCTGGACCCCGTGTGGGCAGCAGTGACCTGGAGTCTGGATTCTGTGGCTACGTCTACACTGGCCCCTTTTCCGGAAGGGGCATGTAAATTTCACTAGTCGTCGTAGGGAAATCCGCGGGGGATTTAAATATCCCCCGCGGCATTTAAATAAAAATGTCCGCCGCTTTTTTCCGGCTTTTTTGAAGTAGGAATAAGAGCCTCCGGAAAAGCAAGTAGGAATAAGACCCTCCGGAAAAGGGCACTTTTTCCGGAGGATCGGGGCCAGTCTAGACGCTCTTTTCCGGCTTTTTTAAAAGCCGGAAAAAAGCGGCGGACATTTTTATTTAAATGCCGCGGGGGATATTTAAATCTCCTAAGGATTTCCCTACGACGACTAGTGAAATTTACATGCCCCTTCCGGAAAAGGGGCCAGTGTAGACGTAGCCTGTGGGTCTAGTGGTGTTGAGAGCCTGGAGCCTGCTGGGCCAGCACCTGGGAACCCACAAAGCCTGATTAACCATGTAACCAACGGATGTTTCCATTGGTTACACAGGTAATATTTTTTGACATTTTTCATGTCCTAATAGAGATGTACCCTGTATCCCGAGAGATCTCAGAACTTTCATGGAGATATTCCACAAACGTGTCCCAGACGTTTCTGGTAATGGCTGCCTTTATTTTTTCCTTTGTGGTAAAATATTTTCCCACTCTACTTTGCAATGATTCAGCAAGCATGATTGTGGTAGCAGGCTGGAGGCATACAGACTTGGGCAGCTTTGGGCTCTCTATTCATTTCTTACCCTCAGGAGTGAGATATCAGCTAAAATTACTACTACCCCTGGAATGGAGTGTCAGTATACAAGGCCATTGCCCTATGCTCAACCTGATGGAAAATAGGGCCTGAAATTTTTGTTATACACAACCAACAATTCCCTCCTTGCTTATGGTGGGCCATACTCACCATGGCGGCAGTGGACAGTGGCATTATGCAGACATGTGTCAAAGCTGAAGTGTCAAAAGTATGTCTGTTTTAAAACTTTTATGGAAATAGGGGTGAGTTCTGAAACTTGCCGTTTGCTTTCCTTTGTGACTGTAAATCCAATGATACAGCTGTCTAATTTATCTGTAATTGCTGCTATTGAAGCCATAATGGGGGCCCCTCTCCACACCCATGGAATACCTGACAGAGGAAACAAAGGTTGACTAGGGTGGGTAAATTCAGTGAGATTCTGAAAGCCATTGCTGCATTGGGCCTTGAACAGAGAGCCTGGAAGGTTAACATAATAGCCAGCCTAGATAAAGAGAGAGTGAAAAGGAGAAGCACCAGTACATAACAGGGCTTTTCAGGCAGCAAATACTGATGCTGCAGTCTCTTGTTGACCTATAAGTGCCACAGTCATGTCACATGCTCAGTTCTCTTTGTAGTCAATGAGAATTCCATTTTAGCAACCCCCTACACAATGTTCTATGAGGCATCATCAGATGCATTCTTCCCCCACGCACTCTAGGCTGGGGGTCAGTGAGGGAAACCATACCTTCACATACACTGACCCGTGCGAATCATGGTTGACATATGTTCAGCAGAAATAGACTGAAAGGGACATAACTGTTTTCTAGCATACTAACTTTAAAGTTATGTCCTGTTAATGTACAATTCTGCATGAATATTTTATTTTCACACTATTCTTTTGCACTGTCCTTGTTACACAACAGATTTTTTA